AAAGTTTTACCAGCTCCTGGAGAATGAGAGATCACACAACCACCTATGTTATCTGAAGTGGGATCCATAAGCGAGGGTTCCACAGATCCTGCTAGATTTCTCCAGAGAAACTCAAAAGCTCTTCGTTGATGCATATGTAGTTTTCTCTTAAGCTGAGGTATTAATGCCCAAACGTTTTCACTTTCTTCAGCCGCAAGGATTTTCGAAGAATCACTTGACATAGTGAAATCTTCAGTCTCGCCTTCTTTGTGGCTCAACTTAGTCTTTATGTCATCTTCTTCGAGCTGCTTAGTCTCCATTGTCCATTTCTTATGTTCTGCCTATTCAAACCAAACCATGAAATACAATCATTTACAAGCGAAGTAACATAAACATTATGCATTTGTAAGTTGTTGAGAGCTTCACTTACAAATGGTGCAGATACATCTTTTATCTCAGTTCCTACATGACCACATAACCTGCAACACATCCCGATTTCTTCGTCCAGCTTATAATCGTGTTCACAACCACTTCTCGCCTTTTCTAAAGCCTCGTTGTCCACTCTTGCCTAGATATTTTTATACACCACAACAATGTAATTAGCGGGCAATTCTTGTATATGAGATGTTTCGAAGAGAATTATACCTCGTTGTCATCGAGTATGTAAGAAGAAGCCAAGCAGAGTTCCATTTCTCTCCATAACATTTCGTTCTCTGAAGTCTCCCCCTCACCATCCTCACTTAAGTTTTGTTCCATATCCCTATGCACTTTAAATGCGAAATTCGTCTTCTTTAACTCCTCCCACTGGTCAAGAACATTGGTAGGCTCGTCCTTGGCTGAAATTGTGGACTCAATGTTGTTCATGTATGAATCTATCAGCTTGTTATATGCACCTGCACTCAATGTTACTTTCTTATAGACCCGTGGTTCATCGGAATCCTCTGTTTTTGGAGCAAATGACCGCGAAGGTCGGGGTGTTCGTTTTTGAACCGACTTCACGTAGTTAGGACCTTTCCAACATAGATCAGATTCCATCATCTCTTCCATTTCTGTCATTTTCTTCCCGTATTTCGAGGATTTACTTCGATACTTTTCAATCTCATCAAAGTACTGGCTTCTTGAAAAACTGCCACCCCCACCCAAACAGTTAGCATTAAGACCAAACTGTTCCAACGGTATAGGCTCAAATACTGGAGTGAAAGGAATAACCGAAAGCTCGGATTTCCTCTCTTTTCTACCAAATCCATGTACTCTCCTCTTGTCTACCAAAACAATCCCGCCTTTCATACTTTTCGGTATCGCTTCTCGAGAATTAGTTATCATTTTCTTGATGAATAAATGCGATAATGGTACATACATATCATCATTAGTATCACCAGCATCATTGCTATCGTCCTCGTCGTTATCACTCTCCACACCAACAGCCCATTTTCCAATCTGGTACGGCATCATCCGCACCCAGCCGTCATTTGTATCTAACTGATAATCACATCCGGTAAATCTATCCGGTCTCACATTTCTTCTTTTGGACCGACGTAGTTCCACTACCTCATCTGCTTCTTGAAAATAATCGGTTTCTTGCTTTATTTCAGGATCTTGAGAATCATCCAATATATCTGCAGGATTAAACTGAACAACTTTTGATAACGAAACACCGTCTTCCACAGTTATATTCATCGAACTCAACGTACTGCTAGAGCCTTCATCTGCTACAATCTGATAAACCATCCTGGTTTGCACTGTTCTTATGTGAAACACAATGCTTTTCAGAATTGAAGTAACAGTCAACCACGAAAGATCCGGCAAGAACTTTCCCAACGACAGTCTCGTTTTCATCAAGGAAGTGCAGTCCTCAGAGAATTTCCACCTGTAAAACTGATCAGTACTTTGTTCCTTGTAAAACTTCTGGAGAATAGAGATTTGGTTTAGACCGATAAGCACGGCATCTTTATTGATTCTCTGTTTCTCCGACCCAATGCAGCCTTGGTCAATGTAAATTCTAACACTGATCTTGCAAGAGCATTCAGAATCATGAGGCTTCCTCTCTATAGAAACAATCCTCGCATCGACCCAAACCTATGCAAGAAACAGATGCAGAGTATTTTGATGAGTTTCAAGATGAAGAATCATAGTTTGAAACAAATTAAAGCAATTGCAGCTACATATACCGGTTCCAAGTCATCCTCATGGAGACGATAGAGAACACAGACATCGATATCAGGGCGAAGGAAACAGATACAGTCACTCAAAGCCGCTTTTCTTGATCTGAGACGAAGCCTTTGGAAGGGACGGATATCCTCCAACACATAACCGTTCTGTAACAGACGTATTGTCATCATTCCATCTTCGATCCTCATGTATTCCACAGGCTTCCATGTACCCGAGCAGAAGAACTCAAAAGCTAAAGAGTAAAAACCGGTATTAAGTCAAAACATTGTTATCCATTAGTCAAACTAATCCAATCCATATTTTGGCATTTTAATCCAACATCTACTAGTTGATTAGCGTCTCTCATTTGCTAATAGAAAGTTTCAACTTCTCAAAGATTGGCATTGAAGAGTATAGAAGAGAACTGATATAAGGGAAATACACTTACGGCATGGATCAAATGGATGCTTCAAATTGTAGAAACCTCTCTTCTTCATCTTTTTTTTTTTTTTTTTTTAACTTTTGGGTCAATCAACCAACCACATTGTTATGCGAAGATCCTACAACAGCAACATAAGTCAGATGCATATCTTCATAGCAATAACAACTCAAAGATCAGCAAAAAGGACAGAACAGAATGCTCTGCTCTTATTAGTAGTTTTCAATCTTTTGCTTGTTGATTGAGGGAAATGCTGAGTGCATCTGTGCATGTAATCAGAATTTTGTTAAGAGTTATAATGATGCTCTATCTTTCCAAATCACTTAACCAAGTCTAATCTCAAATGCACACTAAGAACAGAGAACTCTGTAAATATGACAATTTTGATTATATATATCACTACTAAAACCCTCATCAGATACACGAAAAAATTCAAATTTTACGTTAAGAATCGAAAAAGTCCACATTTGTTTTTTTTAGGTAAAAAACAAAACCCAGATATTGTCCTGGAACAAGGAGCCCAAAAGAGGCAAAAAAAAATATATATAAAATCGGTCACTACAGGCTAAAGCATCGTTATCACTGCAAATAAAAAGGTTAAAAAACAGTAAGAATTCCCCAGTGATCTAAGAGTATTTGATTCAAAAGCAAACGATCATGATCTAGAAAGCAGAATATTAGAGCCCAAGACAACAACAAGACTCAGATTGAAGTCAAGAAAAGATGATCGAAGAACAGAGTCAGTGAGTGACCTTGGAAACAAAACCTGATTGTGCAGTGAAATTGAGACAGAGAGCGAAGATATTCTATTCCATGATTCAAAGGCAACAGAAATAAGAAATATGTAGCAGAGAAAAAGGACGGAGAGTTCAATACCAGACTAGTTATTTCAGAATCTTGGCCACTGTGAAGATAAAATACTGAATAAAGATTTGCATGAATTTGTTGTATACAACAAACAAAGGAGAGTGAGTGAGCGAGAAAGAGGAATTAAAAAGAGTCCACGATTGGGAGTGTTGGCAAACGAACCGGACAAGCAGAGAGAGAGGGTTTAAGGAGGATGGTAATTTGGTAATTTGGTAATTTGGTAATTTCACTTATTTGCTAACTTTACTTGAGGAGAAAAATAAACGGCTGTGATTTGTTATATTTTATCTCTTTAGATAGATTTTCCGACAAGAGGAAAGCCAAGTCAAGCTATGAAATTTTGTGGGGTCCACGGTGGAGATGTGGTGGTAACTCTTTGCAGCGAGTATTGTAGGTTTACCACCTACATATATACTATATAAAGATAACTTAGGTAGTGGTAGCAGTACAGTGAAAAAAAAAAAATTGAAGGGCACAAGGCTGGATAGGTCTAAGAAGTGAAAGGCTTTTATCCCAAAAAAAATCGAGGTATTACCACCATCGCACTCATATAACGTATCGTTTTCATTACGAATCAAAATTACTGTTTCTGAAATCGAGATATTACCATCATCTCACTCATATAGTGCATCGTTTTCGTTACGAATCAAAATTATTGTTTTTGAAATCGAGATATTACCATCATCTCACTCATATAGTGCATCGTTTTCGTTAACGAATCAAAATTATTGTTTCTGAAATCAAGATATTACCATCATCTCACTCATATAACGCATCAATTTCGTTACGAATCAAATGATTGTTTCTGACAGTGTGAGTAATGGCGTATCTAAAAAGTATAATTTAAAAGACGTGATAAGATGCATCTGCAATATTATGTAATCCAAATCATCGTCGTCGTTTTTACTGTTTATTGAACTTTGTTTCACTATTTCAATCACTAGAATAACGCTCTTTCAATTACTGCTTCGAACCTCGTTTCATTGGAGGCGATAAACCACCAATTTTTTAAAAAAATTTAAATTAAATTTTCATATAAAATTTTTGAGAGATAATTGTTATTTTTTTTTTCTTTTATCTTAGATGTGTATGTGAGTGTGGATCTAAATCGCTCCACACTCAAGTGGTTCATCGCTCCAGTAAAAAATTGGCTAGAGAGTTGATGGACCAAAAACCCTTCTTGTGGTACTCTTACCAATCCATAAACACACCAATACCCAATAACAACAAAATTTGCAAATAAAGATAATACCAAAAAACAAATACCATTATATATACTTCAAAGGGAAATGGAAAACTTTAAAACTATATAATTAATTCATGTTGTATTTATTTTATTTCTATGTAAAAAACTTATATAAAAATAAGTAAATACATGTAACTTTTTTTTTTCTTTTGGTCAGATATAAGCTTACCTTTACAATTTTTCTTTAAAAAGGCTACACAACTTTGCTAGAAATCAATAATATTTTGTGCACAATTTTTGTTACTTCTCTAAGAATTACATTATATATTTTTTTGAAATATACCTAAAGTGATATATCTCTAACTATTGTTTATTATTGGTAACGTCTTCGTGTTGGACTTAAAAAAAATGTTATAAAAATTGTGTAGACAAATTGCAGTCGCCTGGTAGAATATTTTTAAAAATATTTGGCATACATATACTTTAATATATTCCAGTACGTTGATTTTTCGATTTTTATTTTTAGGTTGATCAAGCTTCGATTATTTCTGCAAGTTTCGTCCTCTGCCTCACCCTCTCTGCAGACATGGGTCTATTGGTTTTAAACAGCTGGTATCTTCCAATACATTTCTTTTTCATTCTCTCTGTTTTTGTATTAGTAAAGTTTTGTTTGTATTTAGGTCTCAAGTTTTCATTGTATATTGCTTGTTGTTGGGGCAAAGTCAATCCTGATAATCCCCAAAACTTAGCTTCTCCTGACTCTTGTCTTGTGTTTTACATTCAAACTACTGGAATTTTAAGTTGAATAACCCCATTTGATTAAAACTTTATGGTTATAATCTTGCTCTAACCCGATGGATGATCATATTTTTCTGTCTTACAGTAACAATGTTCAGAGGACACTTCCACCAAAGAACAGGAAACATCCTGAATATGAGAGCAAGGTTAGTAGTGTGGCTTAAATTATGGATCTGTAATCACATTTTTTAAAGTTGTAAAATTCTAATAAAACGTAGGGATTTCAGTATCGAGAGCTTGTCCCAGAGACTATTGGGAGTGACAATCTCAGAGAAGCTGTGAAACTACCTCCTGGTGTAGACATTAACGAGTGGTTGGCCATGAACAGTTAAGACACCACCATTTTGATCCCTAGTTACTCTTTCCAAACTTGAGGGTTTCTTCTGAATTTGTTCTTGTGTCTTGTCTTTTAGCTGTAGATTTCTACAAACAAATAAGCCTTTTGTATGCTACTCTTGAAGAGTTCTGCACACCCACCACTTGCCCAGTTATGAATGTTGGAAGGTAAGTTTCTCATTCTTGATATTCTCATCCATCAAATCCAAAGCTTCTTGATCGTAAAACAATAGTTGTAGCATAGTATCGATCTTTCTCGGTCTTATTTTTTTTGCAGATATGAGTATAGATGGGCAGATGGAATAACTGTAATTGAGCCTAAAATGGTTTCAGCCCCTGAATATGTTGAGTGTCTCATGAATTGGATTGAAACTCAGATCGATAACGAAATCATCTTTCCGAAAAATCCTGGTATTTGTGAAGCTAATTATATTTTTAAACATCCTTTAGTTGGTTTTAATTTGTAACACTTTTTTTTTTTTTCTTTATTCAGGAGAACCATTCCCTTCAAACTTTGAGGATTTCGTGAAGCGGATTTTGAGAAAGATGTTTCGTGTCTATGCACACATCTATTATTCTCACTTTATTAAGATTGTGACTCTCAATGAACATGCTCATCTCAACACTTGCTTCAAGCATTTTCTTCTCTTTGTATCTGTGAGTTGATGAATCTTCCTTGGATCATTTTGTGTTCTTAGGAATGTTCTAATAGTTAATGGTGAAAGTTTGTATATTTAACGATGATGCATGGTTATGCGCAACATGCAGGAGTTCCAGTTGGTTGATAAAGAAGAGATGGCTCCTATTAAAGATCTCGTGGAAACTGTTTTGAAACCATAGAAGACTCTTCATGTTTTCAGGGGGAAAAGGGATTGTCATATATCCACCAATAACACCTTAAGAAGTTTATGATTTATGTAATAATGACTTTGGAGTTTGTCCAAAAAAAAAAAAAAAATGTACTAATGACTTTGGCTTTTACAAAGTGAGTTGATGTAATGCAAACTATTACTATTGATCTTGTGAGGTTTAATTCAATAAATAGGATCAGCATCCCATAGCCAAATTATGTCTTTAATGATGCCAAAAGGCTGTGTGTTGGAACCAGCAGAACCTCTTTTTAACTTCACTGTTCAGAAACCAAATGCTATTTTTTCTCTTCTCGTAGACTAGAAATTTGCAGAGCATAAATTTGCTAAAAGTCCTCTTCTATATCATGTGAGATCTTGAAATAAAATGGAGAACTCAAGAGAACTAATATCCATTTCAAGGCAGGTGGTGTTTGATACAACAAACTATGGATATGGATATTGGGAGGTCAATATGAGGACAATCGTACCAGAAATGAATGAGGATGCTTGGACTGTAGTGGAGTCAAGTTGGGAAGATCCAAAAAAGTGGAAAATGAAAGGAACTCAGTTGTCAAACCAAAAACTAAGTGGACTAAAGATGAGAATAGACTCAAAATTCATTTCCAAAGCTGTAGGTCAATTACATCTCGGGTTCCCTCCTTAGCAAGCATGGATTCACCGTTAAGTTAGATGCGGATAAGCTTGTCCTTAGCAAAAATGGGATGTATTTTCTAATAGTGATATGTAATGTAATTGTGTAATGGGACTAGACAAGCATTCAAGGCCTAAATAGTTTGAGAAGCCATGGCCCATGAGAATTGAACCACGGGCTTGCCATCGTGGCTTGTGGCAAAAACTACAAGTACTCTCCTTTTTTCAGGTTCGGCGAAGAACTACTTGCCGTTTTAATTGATAATAAACACCACACATTCCTAACGTCACAGTGACAAACACCTTCTCAGCCCCGGCTCAGATGGATAGGGCGGAGGTACGACGGTCCGGAGCTTTTTTTTTATAAAAAAATTTTACATATAAAAAAGGCCCAAATATTTTTTAAAAATATTATTAATATGAGAATTATATTTTAAGAGGCCTAATTATTTATAAGAAAATGTATAAAAAAGCCCAAAAATTGAACCACGGGCTTGCCATCGTGGCTTGTGGCAAAAACTACAAGTACTCTCCTTTTTTCAGGTTCGGCGATAATAATAAGCAAAAAAAAATTTTTGCCCTAAGGCTCTCAAATATATTGAGCCAGGGCTGCACCTTCTGACTCACTCCACAGAGATTTCTCGACCACCGACAATTTTTTTGAGTTCTAATCATGGCGCAGCCGGAAGATCCAGTCTAAGCTGATTTTGCAAGAATCGATGGCCTTCCTCAAATTACCGGACGCATTTTACGACAGTGCAAATGATCGAGGCCTTCGCACAAAACCGTAAAGTAAAAATCCTCCTTTTATTTCTTTCTATTTACGACCCTTTAGATTATCAACAAGTAAAGATTGCATTTTTTTTGTACATGTAATTTGTTTCAGAATTTATAAAACGAGAACTTCTATCAATGTCTTTGAATTAACTTTGGAAAATTCAAACTTTCTGATGGATGATGATTGTCAATACACGTTTCAGAAGAAGATTGAAACCAAAATGACAAGACAAGAGGTTGTGTGTGTGTCGACCAATGTGTTCTGTTTTGGGAAATACTTTGCCTTTTTTTACTCTGTTTACAGACACACACGCTAATGTGTTTTTTGACTGTTGAAAAAACTAAAGATATTTCAAAAGTCTACGCAGTACGCAATTTGTTTCTTTGTGACCACTTTCAATGATTTTGGACCGCATTTAATAGCCCCACGACTGTAATGGGTTCACATTTTGGATTTTGCTTCTTGTTTACCTTAAAATTTCTTTCATTTTCTGGTTTAATGTTGAAGCAGAAGAACCTTTCTTTATCTTTTTATAAGCGACATGAAGCTGTCTTTTCCACTTGCTTTCAATGCTCTCATGTTGCTTCTTCAAGTTTGCTGCGTGGTCTTTGCTCAAGCCAGGTTTTCTAATGAGACTGACATGAAAGCTTTGCTTGAGTTCAAGTCTCAAGTTTCTGAAAACAAGAGAGAGGTCTTGGCCTCATGGAATCACTCCTCCCCATTATGCAATTGGATTGGAGTCATATGTGGCCGCAGGCAAGAAAGAGTTATAAGTCTGAACATCGGAGGATTCAAGTTAACCGGTGTGATCTCACCCTCCATTGGTAATCTCTCCTTTCTCAGGTTTCTTAATCTTGGAGACAACTCTTTTGGAAGTACCATCCCTCAAGAGGTGGGAATGCTATTTAGGCTTCAGTACTTGAACATGAGCTATAATCTTCTCCAAGGAAGGATTCCGCCTAGTCTTTCTAATTGCTCTAGACTGTCGACTGTTGATTTATCGTCAAACCAGCTTGGACATGGCGTTCCTTCAGAACTAGGTTCACTTTCTAAGCTGGCCATTCTGGATCTTAGTAAAAACAACCTTACAGGAAATTTTCCTGCATCTTTTGGAAACTTGACGTCACTCCAGAAGCTTGACTTTGCATATAACCAGATGGGAGGTGAGATTCCAGACGAAGTAGCTAGATTGACTCATATGGTGTTTTTTCAAATAGCACTGAATAGTTTTTCAGGTGGTTTTCCTCCTGCATTGTACAACATCTCCTCTCTTGAGTTTCTATCTCTAGCTGACAATAGCTTTTCGGGTAACCTTAGGGCTGATTTTGGTGATCTTCTACCAAGTCTAAGATGGCTTCTTTTGGGATCAAATCAGTTCACTGGAGCTATTCCCATAACACTTGCCAATATCTCAAGCCTTGAATGGTTTGATATCTCATCTAATTACCTGACTGGAAGTATCCCTTTGAGCTTTGGAAAGTTACGTAATCTGTGGTGGTTAGGGATTCGTAATAACTCTCTTGGATATAACTCGTCCAGTGGTCTTGAATTTATTGGTGCTTTGGCGAACTGCACTCAATTAGAGCACTTAGATGTTGGTTACAATAGACTTGGAGGTGAGCTGCCTGCCTCCATGGCCAATCTGTCCACTAAATTGACTAGTCTCTTCCTTGGACAAAATCTTATCTCTGGAACCATTCCTTACGACATCGGGAATCTTATAAGCCTGCAAGAACTCAGTATGGAAACAAATAAGTTGTCTGGAGAACTTCCAGTCTCTTTCGGGAAGCTTTTGAATTTGCAGGTGGTGGATCTCTATTCAAATGCAATATCGGGGGAAATACCATCTTATTTTGGCAACATGACTCAGTTGCAGAAGCTCCATTTGAATAGCAATAGTTTCCACGGAAGAATCCCTCAGAGTCTTGGACGTTGTCGATACTTGCTAGACCTGTGGATTGATACAAATAGGTTGAATGGGACTATACCTCGGGAAATACTGCAAATTCCGTCCCTCGCTTACATAGATTTGTCAAACAATTTCTTGACCGGCCATTTTCCAGAAGAAGTTGGAAAGTTGGAACTTCTTGTTGGACTAGGTGCTTCGTACAACAAATTATCAGGACAGATCCCACAAGCTATAGGGGGTTGTCTCTCGATGGAATTTCTTTATATGCAAGGAAATTCGTTTGACGGAGCCATTCCAGATATAAGTCGGTTGGTAAGCCTAACGAATGTTGACTTCTCCAACAACAATCTCTCTGGCCGGATACCTCGATATCTGACCAATCTTCCTTTGTTGCGAAATCTGAATCTTTCTATGAACAATTTTGAGGGAAGCGTGCCAACAACAGGAGTGTTCCGAAATGCTACAGCAGTTTCTGTTTTTGGTAACAAAAATATATGTGGAGGCGTCAGAGAAATGCAACTAAAGCCATGCATTGTAGAAGCATCTCCAAGGAAGAGAAAGCCTCTCTCACTTAGAAAGAAAGTTTTCAGTGGTATTGGTATAGGTATAGCTTCGCTTTTGTTAATCATAATTGTGGCTTCTCTGTGTTGGTTCATGAAGAGGAGAAAGAAGAACAATGCCAGTGATGGTAACCCATCTGATTCTACTACTTTGGGGATGTTCCATGAGAAGGTAAGTTATGATGAGCTTCATAGTGCAACAAGTGGCTTCTCTTCAACCAATCTGATTGGTTCAGGCAATTTCGGTAATGTGTTTAAAGGATTGCTTGGCCATGAGAATAGACTCGTTGCGGTTAAAGTTCTGAACCTCCTAAAGCATGGAGCAACTAAAAGCTTTATGTCGGAATGTGAAACCTTCAAGGGTATACGACATCGTAACCTTATAAAACTGATAACGGTCTGTTCAAGTCTCGATTCCGAGGGAAATGAGTTCAGAGCTCTGGTCTATGAGTTCATGCCAAAAGGAAGTCTGGATATGTGGCTGCAGCCAGAAGATCAGGAAAGGGCAAACGAGCACTCGAGATCCTTAACACTTCCAGAGAAACTCAACATAGCAATAGATGTGGCTTCAGCTTTGGAGTATCTGCACGTTCATTGTCATGACCCTGTAGCTCACTGTGATATTAAGCCAAGCAACGTTCTTCTAGACGATGATCTGACTGCTCATGTTAGTGACTTTGGTTTGGCTCGGCTCCTCTATAAATACGATCGAGAATCCTTTCTAAAGCAGTTTAGTTCTGCCGGTGTCAGAGGCACCATTGGCTATACCGCACCAGGTTGATAAACATCTATATGCAAAATGTATTGTTTAACAATGAATCATCCAACCTCATTGTCTGTTGTTTCATTGAGACATGTGCAGAATATGGAATGGGAGGCCAACCATCAATACAAGGAGATGTGTACAGCTTTGGAATTCTACTTTTGGAGATGTTCACAGGAAAGAAACCGACAGACGAACCATTTGCAGGCGATTACAACCTCCACTGCTACACACAGTCGGTATTGTCTGGTTGCACGAGTAGTGGAGGCAGCAACGCCATTGATGAATGGTTGAGACTGGTTTTGCAGGTGGGGATAAAGTGTTCTGAAGAATATCCAAGGGATAGGATGAGAATTGCTGAAGTGGTACGAGAATTAATCTCAATCAGAACTAAATTCTTCAGTTCCAAGACGACTATTACAGAGAGTCCTCGAGATGCTCCGCAAAGTTCTCCTCAGGAATGGATGTTAGATGCGGACTTGCATACTGTGTAGACCAAAATGATGACATCACAAATACCTTCTCAACTACTTAGGATGGGCACACAGTAAAAGATCGAAACAGAACATTGTTGGGGAGAGACTACTAATTATATATAATAAGGGAATAAAGAACATTTTAAAATCTATCTCTGCTGTAGCCTTTAATCTCTTTAATCCTTTTCTTTTGTTGTTGTGGGTGATAATGATTATGACCACATAGATATGGTCGTTGAATATCCTTTTTCACTTTGAAATACATTATAGTTCTCTGCGCCCATTAAAGATTGAACAAAACTTGTTTGGAAAAGTTCATTAGTAGCAAAACTGACCTACTAAGACAAATCACATTACTAGTACCAAAATGTATCCAGTAATGTGATTGTACTTTCTTATATTACAGATAACAGAGTTGTTGTTTCGTTACAGTCCTGCGATTGCACCTTGCTCTGTTAATGAAATTCAATAATGTAATGATTTAGAAACAACTAACAGATATAAGAAAATACTCTTAACAATCACATGAAAAATATAAGATGTGCGACCTATATAAATCGTGAAAACAAATTCTAGTTCATTCATTACAATTTCCCAAAACGATTACAAAAACTCAGCCCAAACCAACAAATAAGTAATTGACTAAAACAATACTCTCCTCCCCTCTCTGGGCAGGACAGTATCAAACAAACCTAAAGCCATTCTATGACAAAACCAAAATGGCAAACAAATAACCCCTGTGAGTTTCCATAACTACAGGGATGCAAAGAATGAAATAAACTCGGCCTCTCCACAAATACAAAGGCCGGAGACTGAACCCCAAAACAAAGAAGAAAAAAGAATGGAAACCGAAAAGAAGATAATATACACAAAATGCCCATAGGAATGCAGTGGCTCACACGATGTATTTATGTATATGCAGCAGAAACATTCGTATCTTGTGGACCATAACGAGTTCCCGAGAGCAGTTACGATGTACCGCCTTCCTTACGTGTGAGTAAGAATCCGAAACCGGAGTTTTCACGGATTAGTTGAGGAGGTTCGATGTCATTTACATCCACTTGTTGCATTGACTTTGATATATCCTCCACCGTGAATGGAATGCTGTGTTTTGATTGATTCCCTCGCGTTAGTTGAGAAATGAGAAGGTTACAAAGAGATTGAAAACAAATTCTTATCAGGTTACCTCGAGTCATCGTCCAAAAGGAAGGAGCTGCTTACGGCATTGTTCGAGTCCTCTGTCATCATAACCCTCATGTTTGCAATAACCTATGGTTTTGGAAAGAACACAATTAAAACCATATCTAGACAAAAGAAGAAAGCTTAGTTATTTACAAGTGAAACATACATCTGAAGAAACACTATGAGTGCCATATTTGTCATCCCAGTACATTGTGCTGATTCTGTATAGCTGCTGTATACTTAGCACCTGAACCAAAAAAGCCAATTCAATTATCATCTCATAGCAAAATAATTAACACGAGATAAAGACAGCTTTAACTGAGTAGAAGAGACTAAATACCGGACAGAGTTCTCTTGTAATCTCGTCTAAGGTCTTTTTTGGCTTTTGATGAATAACCTGAACAAAGAGTCAAAACAAGCAATGCTCACGTAAGCACAATGTAACGGGAGTGCATAAAAGGAGTGGCATAGCATCAACTAAGAATTTTACCAGGAAGCCAACAGCCTGCCTGATATGCCTCAACTCATCCCAAGCTGAGCCAGCATACTGTACGAAAATGAAACAACAATTCCATTTCAAAAGATATAAAAATATTCAAGCGACTGAGAGGCAAAGCGTGACGAAATCTCGGCTTACTTCATCGGTAGCCTCTATACACCACTGCTCTAATTCAGCCAAACCAGCTTTAACGTACTCCCCATTGCTGAATGAGCAACACTCACGACGAAGAAGAAGACTGCACAAGTTAATGACAGAAATCTTTCTGTCAGCCAAGAAAAAAGTGCTTTGACATAAGAAGAAAAAAGATAGATTCCAAGTGAAACATGCCTGTTGAAAAGTTGAACGTTGATGAAGGAGAATATTTGTGTGAATACTTTGCGGACTAAGAAGGGTGGAGCCTGTATCATGTAAACATAGATTGTAATCATCAGTCATAAGAAGTTAAAATTTTACTTACGTTCATTTTTAATGGAATTTCAGACTCACATTGTTTGCTTTCATTAAATTCAAGTAACTGTTTAGGCTTTTCCGAATACTTTGCCAATGTGCAATCAGAGCTTGTTGAGCAACAGCATTTGCTTGTGCTCTCCCTTTAACCAAACTTGCCCTTGATGTCCTTGGTGCCTGGAGCATGTAAACATTGCCTTACACAAAATCGAAAAAATAAAGAAACTAAAGCTAAAAAATTTCAGCATATCAACTTCCACAAAAGAGAAACAACAAAGAACTACATGCATTCCCTTCTCAGTAGCAATAAAAGAAGAATATTCCAGAACATTCAGTTATTAAGACAAACCAACAAAAAAATTACCTGTATACATAAGCCAAGGAGAGGAGAGATCTCTTTCTTTAGGTTATCTCTGATCATTCCATATATCTTCTCGAGGAATGCAGTAAGCTGTTGCTTGAAAAGTAGTGCAGGGTACTTTGCTTCAACTTGCCTCAAGTCGTCAAGCTTGGTGAGCCCTTGTCTATTCAGAAAAGAAAGTCCAGCACTTTGAGGAGATCCCCTTAATCCCTATTTAGATTGTTAAAGAGGTACACACGATGAATTGATGTTGACATGCCGAGTCAGATAAAAATGTCAGAAAAATGATCTGATTTGCAGCTTCTTACTTGTGACATCCTTCCAAATAGAGATGCTGATGTTGTTCTTCGCCTCTGCGGTGTTAAACTCGCTGCTCCAGTTGCTTTGAGTGTACGTTGCAGAAGCAATAATAAAGTGGCTGAATTAGATAACCAATACGCCAAAACCTCATTGTTATCTGGGACCTGTATAAAAGACAACATTTCCAATTGATATTCAGAACATATCCGCTTCTGGAATTTAGAAGATTGAAATAGAAAACAACAAAGTATCCTGGTTTGAATGATACGGTCACATAAATGCTTCTGTACAATGAGGCAAGAAAGAATCAACTTACTTCAATGGCTGAAGCTATTGTTTGAATGATACGGTCAAAGACGCTAGTTCTTTCCACTTCAAATGATCTCCAGTGAAGGAGACATTTGTATATGACACATGCAGCAACAGGCTTGTCCCCAGCGTATCCAAGATTTTGTGAGATACACTTGACTAGTAGATCCTGGTTTTCCTGCATGACACGATGTTTATATGTGTTAAGAGAAAAGCAGAGTGCAATAATGCAAGAAATGGGGTCCCATCATTACAATTAGTACAAGAAATTCATATATCTGATACCTGTTGCTTTTCATTCAGATATTTCTGCGGTTTCTCCTCAGACTCTGGTTCCCGTACAGCAAGAGTCATGTCCTGTGAAATTTTTAGACGATAAGCAATTGAAGAAACAACAAAGTATCCAAGTCTCCTTTTGAACGTGCAATTTAATCAGAAAATGCACTTCCCCTTACCGGTGTAGTCTTTGTTCCTCCATTAAGATAATTTCCATTCTCTGGAGTTCTCTGAACATTTAAAAGAAAAAACTACATTAACAAACAGGCCTTCTTGTAATTTTATGAACCACAAAGAAGGAAAACAATTCATGTTGTTGGCACCGGTAAAAGCATTGTTTTTGATCGAGTGGCCATAGTTCTACTGGTTGGCGAAATAGCAAGTGCCTGTTGACGGAGTACTTGAATCTCTGACTCTGAATTGGAAAGCTTCTCTTCTAGTCTGAACAAGAAGCAAAATGTGTAAAAGTCAGGAACAGAAGAAACACAGTGATAACTTATTTAATCAACCAACAAATATAACAACGACTAGTAAAAGTCTCTTGGCAGTAGTATCAAAAGTTGTAAGCAAAATGACAGTCAAAACTACATGGCTAAGTTAAAGAAGCATGAGACATTAGAATCTGTCTTTTTTCTGTTGATTGCACATCAATATATTTTACGAACCTTTGCACTGATTCATGAAGCTGATCTGCTTTTCTTGTAGCATTTTCAAGCTCCGTGGCCAGCTCGGAATTTCTAGCTTCTGCCTCTGAGAAAGCTTTTTTCAAATTTTCTGCGGCTTGTCGTTCAGCCTGAAGCGAAGCCTGTAATAAAATATGATTTAAACCAACCAATCCGCTTCACTTTATTAAGGGAGTAATCAGCATGTATCTTCTAACTTTGTTAGTGAATACATAAAGGATGATCTAATAAGTGAAAACACACATACCTTTAGAGCCTCCACCTCTGATGTTAATGAATTGATTTTTTCAGTATCCTCAACCAATACAGGAGTCTCCTTAATGACTGGAGGTGCTTCTTCAATAGCTTTCCTTGCAGCCTCCCGCTCTCTAATCACAGCAGCGTTTGCTTCTTCAACTTGCAACCGCATAGTTTGTAAAGCCTCCTGTTGTTTTGCATATTCTTGGGTTTTTGCTTCTTCTAGCTCGGTCTATATTACCAGGGATTATCAATAACAGTGTAAACAAAGCTTGATATCATGCCAGAGTATGGAAATAAACTTACTCTCTGTCGCTTTTCTAGTTGTAAACGCCATGTTAATTCCTCAACACGCTTTTCAAGTTTGTCTTTCGCCTCTCTAAGGGCTCCTGTGTCTCGTGCGGCCTGATTCAGTTAATTGTAAAGGTAAGAACCTCATTTGTTTCATGAAGTTTTATAAAACCAAAAAAAGACCGAACCATCTTAAGTGTCCTCAATTCTTTTCGTGCAACCCTGCTCCTCCAGCCACATTGTGTAGAAAGGGCAGCTTTCTGGAGTTTCTTGTAGTAAGAATGTGCGAGATGACTTCGAAGACAAGCCTTAATTAAAAAAGGAAGAACCATCAGATTGCTGATGTCCAAGGAACAATTATGCACACTGACATTTTCTTATTTTCTCAGTTAGGTAAACAAAATTGACCCAAAGAGGTTTCTTAGAAATTACCTGAATAATAGTAGCAGCCTTCATTCGCTTTCTGAATCTGAACTCATTGCGAGCAACCATTCCCCTTAGTGCTGTTTGAACTGTTATTGTTGAATGTCTAATTCTTAAATAAGATTCTCTGGCAATATGTCT